TTTTTTTTGCAATTTGTGGGTTTTCTTTTCACTGTGCTGGAGATTTCCTTCTACATGCAAAAGCATTTAAATAAAATGAGATTCCAGTTACTGATTCTGGGATGTATTTCCTGTGAGGTCTGATTTTTGTTCATGAATTCTTTACCTACCCCTATGTCTTCAAGATTTCTACCTACTTTGTCTTCCAACAGATTTAGTGTTTCTGTTTTAATATTTAGATCTTTGATTTTGACTTTAGTTTAGTGTATGATGATAGGCATGGGTCAAGCTTTATTTTTCAGCATATGGAGAGCCAATTTTTCCAGCACCATTTATTGAAGACACTGTCTTTCTTCTAGTGAATGTGTTTGGCCTCTTTATCAAAGATAAGGTGGCTGAGTGTGTTTGTAATTGTAGTTGTATCTTCTAATCTATTCCATTGTTCTTCGGGTCTGTTTTTATTCCAGCACCATACTGATTTTATTACAGTAGCTTTGTAGTATAACTTCAAGTCAGGGATTGTGACGCCTCCTGCCTTGCCTTTGTTGCTCATAATTACCTTTGCTATTCTAGACCTCTTCTGATTCTAGATGAATTTTAGGAATGATTACTCTAGATCTGTGAGGTATGCTAATGGTATTTTGATTGGGATTGCATTAAATCTGCATAACAATTTTGGGAGAATGGCCATTTTCACAATGTTTATCCTTCCTATCCATGAACAAGGAATGTCTTTTCATTTTCTGAGATCCTCTTAGATTTCATTTTTCAGAGTGTTGTAATTTTCACTGAATAGATCTTTCACTTCCTTTGTTAGATTGGTTCCTAAGTAATTTCATTTTTTTTTTTTTTTTGGATGCTATTGTGAAGGGTGTGGCCTCTATTTTTTTCTCAGTGAGTTTGTTGTTTGTGTACAGGAATACTACTGATTTTTGACTGTTGAATTTATATTCAGATACATTAATGAATTTCATTATTACATCTAGAAGTCTTTCAGTAGAGTTTGGGGGGTCTTTTGTGTAGAGTACCATGTCAAATGCAAATAATGATAACTTCTTCCCTTCTTATCCTTATTCCTTTTATTTCTCTCTCTTGTCTGATTTCACTGGCTAATATTTCCAGCACTATATTGGATAGAAATGGTGATAGTGGACATCCTTGTCTTATTCCTAATTTTAGAGTGAAAGCTTTCAGATTTGGACCATTTAATATGATGCCAGATATTGGTTCATCATAGATGGCTTTTATCAGATTGAGGTAGAGATGGTCTATTCTGATTTTCCATAAGGTTCTTATAAGTGAATAAGTGTTGGAATTTATCAAAAGCTTTTTCTGTATCTATGGAAATGATCCTGTGATTCTTGTCTTTGGCTCTTTTGATATAATGTACTATACTTATTGATTTGTGTATGTTGAAGCATACCTGCGTTCCTGGGATGAATCCCATTTGGTCGTGGTTTGTAATCTATGTGATGATTTGCTGCACTCTGTTGCCAGTATTTTATTGAGGGTTTTTGCATCTATAATCATTAGGGAGATTGGCCTGTAGGTCTCTTTTTTGCTTAGGTCTTTCTCTAGTTTTGGTATTAGAGTAATACTTGCTTCCAGGAATTGTTTCCCTTTCAATTTCATTGAACAGTTTGAGGAGTGTTGGCATTAAGTCTTCCTTGAATTTCTTGTAGAATTTAGATGTGAATCCATAAGGACCTGGACTTTTCTTTGTTGGTAAGGTTCTAATTACATTTTCAATTTCATTAACTGAAATTGGGTTATTCAGCAGTTTTATACCTTCTTGATTCAGCTTTGGTAATTCATATGCTTCTAGGAATCTGTCCATTTTATCAAGCCTCTGAGAGTAGAGGTTTTTGAAATAGGTATTGATGGTCTTCTGTTTTTCCACAGTGTCTGTAGTGATTTCACCCTTTTCATTCCTTATTGCATGAATTTGATTTTTTTCTTTCCTTTTTTATAAGGATGACTAGGGGCTTATCAATTTTACTTATTCTTTCAAAGAACCAACTCTTTGGTTCATTGATTCTTTCTATTGTTTTCTTAGTCTCCATTGCATTGATTTCTGCTCTGATCTTTATAATTCCCTCCCTTCTTTGGGATTTGGGCTTCACTTGCCTTTCTTTTTCTAGATGTTTGAGGTGTAGCATCAGGTTGTTTATTTGTGTTCATTCTGTTTTCCTGATTTGGGGATTTATTGCAATAAATTTTCCTTTGAGGACTGCTTTCGTTGCATCACACAGGTTCCAGTAAGTTGTATTTGTATTTTCATTTGCTTGTAGATATTGTTTAACTTCTTTAACTTCCTCTGTGACCCACTGATTGCTCAAGAGTGTATTATATGATTTCCATGTGTTTGTACGGTTTTTTCAGTTTCTTTTGTCTTTAATTTCTAGTTTCATAGCATTACAATCTGATAATATGCATGGGATAATTTCCATTTTTTTGAATTTACTTAAGCATGTTCTATGGGCTAGTATATGGTCTGTTTCAGAGAATGTCCCATGTACTGCTGAGAAGAAAGTATATTCTGGTGTTTTGGGGTGGAACACTATACATGCACCAAGTCCATTTATTCACAGGTGAGATTCAGTTCTGTTATTTTCTTTGCTGATTTTCTGTCTAGTTGATCTATCCCTTTGTGTCAATTTGTGTGTTAAGGTGTTCTGTTATAATTGTGTTATTGCTTATTTGATTTTTCATTTTTGTTAATATTTATTTTGTATAGCTGGGTGCCCCAAATTTGGTGCATAGATATTTAAGATTATTATATCTTCTTCCTGAAACTTTCCACTAACTAGTATGTGGTGACCTTTTTTATTTATCTTGATCATTCTTGGTTTGAAGTTCATATTGTCTGAAAATAGAATGGCTACCCCTACTTGCAGGAGGGGTTCCTGTTGCATGAAGTATTTTTTTTCATCCTTTGACTTTCAGTCTATGAGTTTCCTTTTGGGTTAGATGGGTTTCTTGTATACAACATATGTTAGGATGTTGTTTCTTGATCCATTCTGCCAGTCTGTTTGTATTAATTGATGAATTGAGGCCATTTCCATTAATGGTTATAGCTGTTATATATTGGTTTGTTTTTGACATGTTATTTTCTCCTGTTGATTCTTTACCTTTCCACTCTGTTTAATTGTTTGCCTTGCTTAGTGGTTTTTTCCTATGTCTGCCTAGAATGTCTTTCAGTATTTTTTGAAGGACTGGTTTGGTGGTCATAAAGTTATTCAGCTGTTCTTTCTCATGAAAATATCTTAATTCTCCATCCATTTTGAAGAACAGTTTTTCAGAGTACATCAGTCTGGGTTGGAAGTCATTTTCCTTTAGGATCTGAAATACTTCACTCCATGCTCTTCTTGACTTCATTGTTTGTGTTGAGAAGTTTGCTGTAATTCTGATAGGCTTTCATTGATAGGCTTCTATCTAACAGCTTTTAAAGTCTGTTTTTATGTTGAATTTCTGGGATGATGTTTATTATATGTCTGAGTGTAGTTTTATTTTGGCTATGGCTAATTGGAGTTCGATGATTCACTTCTCTGTATTCCAGTTTCCATTCTCATATTTGGGAAATTTTCAGCTATTACTTCTGTAAATAGCCTCTTGATATCATCTGTGTTGTCACCTTCTTTTTCATTTATAACTATCAATGTTATGTTGTTTTTCTTTGCAACATCTTACAACTGTTCGATTGTTATTTCCTGATTCCTTGTTATTTTTAAAAGCTCCTTCCTGTTCACTAGCTGTAATCTTGTCTTCGAGGTCTGAAATCTATCTTCATTTTCATTGAGGCAGTTTTGCCAACTTTCAGTGGAATTTTTGATTTTTTGTATATCTCTTTGAATCTGCTTCATGCATTGTTTGTTTCTTATATTGTTCATTCAAGATTTCCATCTTCTTGCATTGTTCCTCTAATTTTGTAAGCATGTCTTCTTTAGATGTGTTTTATTACATTTATCATTTCTTCTTTTACCTGGAAGATTATTTCTGATCTGAGTTCTTTTATAGCTTCCTGGAGTTGTTACTTTACTTCAGTTGCTATCATTTCAGGTGTTTCAGGTGTATGGCTTACATTTTCTTCTATGTCCATGTTTTGTAGGCTTGCTTGGGATGGGCTGGAGGTTTCAGATTGCATTTTGCTCTTTTGTTTTGTCATTTTTCTGTATTTCCAGCCTTGTAGCAATGGAACACTGGGGAGGGACTTACTGGCTCGGAGTGATGTTCCAAAGCTTCTCCACGTGCTAGAAATCACCTTGCACACTTTTGCCTGGTAAGGCAGAATGCAGGCAACTGCTGGCCACCCAGGGATCACTTGGTGTGGCCCTGAAAAATCATTTCTGATTTGATTTTTTTCTAAAGCACCATTCATCCATTTTGTTACTTCTGGTGTTTCCATTTCAGAGAACCCAGGTTGGGATGCTTTCAAATTGTTCCATCTCATTGCCCCTGAGTTTGCCTTTGGCAAGCTGGAAGTCTGGAGTTGCATCTTGCATTTGTGTCTTCTCATTGTTTATTTTTTTTAGTTTAATTCCTGGGTTGATGCTTGTAAATTGCTTATGGAAGGTAACTTTATTAGTAGTACTGAAAATCCTTAGGAAATTACTACTTCTCAGAGATGTCTTCCTGGTGTTACTGGTTTTGAATTTTGAATCTGTTGTAAGACTTTACCTCTTCAATTTATTGGAAATGAGTACTTTCTGCCTATTTGGCCCAGACTGTAGGGAGCCGAGTGACAGGCATTGCTGCCTCGATGTCTCTCTCTCTCTCCTATGGGCACTGCGTCTGCCTACATTAACCATAATCCTCTTCTGCTTACGTCACGTATCTGGATGTGATGGTAACCCTGTTGTATTCATCTGTTTAACCTCTTCCTGTCCCAGCTCCCGCCCTTAGCCTATAAAAGGTGTGATTATTTCCTGAATAAACCGGAAGCTTGATCGGATTATTTCGTCTTGCTTTCGTCTCTTTTTGTCTCCCCCATGTCTTTTATTTAATCCCCGTTTCCCCTCCAGGAGTTCTGAACTTGTTGATCTGCAGGCCGGATCAAGTGGCGCCCAATGTGGGGCTCCTGGCACGGAGAAGTTAACAAGGGAGCCGTTCGAGAGACAGCCAGCTTAAACTAAAAGTAAAAGCGAATTAAACCAGAGACCTCGGCCGAGGAATGAGTAAACTAAATCAAGGATTAAAGCTTAAAGCAACAGGACATTAAATCAAGTGCCGAGACTTGCACAGACGACTACCCGACGTCCTGCCCGAGTCACGGTGAGTGAACGGCAACCCCATTTCCCTTCCCCGACATGGGTCAAGTATTGAGCAAACACGAAGTGTTCATCAGAGGCCTTATAAAGGCATTAAAGACAAGAGAGATAAGGGTTGGAACAAAAGAATTATTACAGTATTTTCAGTTTATTCATAAGGTTTGCCCTTGGTTCCCCCTAGAGGGTTCTATAGATACCAAGAGGTGGAATACAATAAGAGATGCTTTAAAAGATTATTATAGAGTTTTCAGTCCAAAAAAGGTTCCTGTGACCACCTTTACATATTGGAATTTAATCTCTGAGCTGCTTGCCCAGAGGCATGCAGACCCTCAGGTTGAGGAGACAGTAACACTGGGTGAGGCTGCCTTGCGCGACTCTGTTAAATCTACCTCAAAACTGCCCTCAGAAAAATCTAAAGCCTCTAATTTCTCAGATGCAGAGAATGATGGCCTGTTAGAGGTCCTCATACATGGTGATCTGCCACCACTTCCACCTGTTGACATGATCAGCAGGTCCCAGGATGGCAGCCCGCCACTCCCTGTGCCTCCATGGCAAATTGGGGATTCATATAAGCCTTTAGAAACAACCTTAACTCTGAAAAGCTTGCAGCTGCACAGCAGCTGGTGCAGGACCAGTTAGATGCAGGCCACATTGTTCCTAGTAATTCCCCTTGGAACACACCTATCTTTGTTATCCGGAAAAGGTCAGGGAAGTGGAGGCTGCTACAAGACCTTAGGGCAATAAATAAGACAATGGTCTTAATGGGGCCCCTACAGCCAGGCCTCCCCTCACCCAGTGCCATTCCCTTGGGATTTTTTAAAATTGTCATAGATCTTAAAGATTGCTTTTTCTCTATTCCTTTACATCCAAAGGACCAAAAGCATTTTGCCTTCAGTCTCCCATCAATTAATTTTAAAGCCCCTATACAGGGATTTCAATGGAGAGTTTTGCCACAAGGTATGGCCAACTCCCCCACACTATGCCAGTCTTTTGTAGCCACTGCAATACAGTCAGTCAGAGATCATTGGCCACATATCTATATTATTCATTATATGGACGATATCCTCTTAGCAGGAGATGATCAAAACCAAACCCTAAGGTGCTACCAGGACTTACAGGTTGCCTTACAAGAGGCTGGACTTCAAATAGCCCCTGATAAAGTACAGCTTACTGATCCATATACATACTTGGGTTTTCAATTATGTGGCACTCAAATACTCTCTTTAAGGCCCCAACTGAGGCTTGATGGCCTCAGAACACTTCATGACTTCCAAAAACTATTGGGAGATATTAATTGGCTCATACCATTTTTAAAACTAACTAAACATGATTTACAGCCTCTTTATGCGCTGCTTCAGGGAGACATAGATCCAACTTCCCCCCGAGAGCTTACACCTGATGCCAGGAGAGCGCTCAGTAAAGTAAAAGAGGCTATTGCTCAACAAACTGTTTCCTTTATAGACTACAATGAGCCTTTACAGTTTCTCATTTTTAATACAAAGCTTTGCCCCACAGCAGTGTTCTGACAACAAGCTCCCCTCATGTGGGTCCATTTACCAGTCTCTCCAAAAAAAACACTTTTGCCTTATTTCCAAGCTGTCTCAGACCTAATAATCCAGGGTAGAAAGCAAAAAAAAAAAAATGTTACTTTGGCAAAGAACCAGACATTATCATTCAACCTTTTACAAAAGACCAAATAGATTGGCTACTTCAGAGTACAAAAGTATGGCCTATTGCCTTAGCTTCCTATTCAGGGACTATTGATGATCATTACCCTCCAAATAAGCTAGTTGACTTTGCTAATCGTCACTCATTTATATTCCCTAAAGTCACAGCTTCACAACCCCTTCCAGGTGCCCTGGTTTTATTCACTGATGGCTCATCCTCCGGAAGGGCTGCTTATGTATCTCAAGACAATGTTTCTACCCTCAAGGCAGATACTTCCTCTGCACAATTAGCAGAGTTAAAAGCTATTCTTGCAGCTTTTGCTGCTTACTCTGACCAACCATTTAATTTGTATACTGACAGTGCTTACCTTGCCCAGTCTGTTCCATTATTAGAGACTGTTGCTACTATATGTCATGCTTCCCCAGCTGCAAATCTGTTCAAACAATTACAATGCTTCATACGGCTTCACCGTCATAAGTTCTTTATCGGTCATCTGCGAGCTCATTCCAACCTCCCAGGGCCTCTTGCCCAAGGAAATCATTTGGCTGATGTTGCTGTACGAACACAGGTTTTTATGGCTCAGGACTCCAAGGTGTATGAGGCCCAACAAGCCCATCAGCTACACCACCTCAATGCTCACACCCTCCGCCTTCTCTACAAAATTACCCATGAGCAAGCCAGACAAATTATAAAAAATTGTCCATCTTGTGCTATCCACTCACCTGTTCAACACCTAGGAGTCAACCCTAGAGGTTTAATTCCTAACGCCTTATGGCAAATAGATGTTACCCATTTCAATGAGTTTGGCAATCTAAAATATGTACATGTCATTATTGACACTTATAGTGGCTTCATTTTTGCCACTCTCCAGACTGGAGAAGCTGCTAAACACATTATAGCCCATATGCTGTCAGCCTTCTCAGTTCTGGGATGTCCTCAACAGCTCAAGACCGATAATGGCCCTGGCTATACCAGCACCTCCTTTGCTCAATTTTGCAAGAGCCTTAATATCCTCCACACTACAGGTATACCTTATAATCCTCAGGGACAAGGCATTGTTAAATGTGCGCATCGTTCTCTTAAATTCACCATAGATAAAATAAAAAGGGAGACATGGTACCCCACCCAGGGGTCCCCTAAAAATGTCCTTTCACATGCTCTTTTTATTTTAAATTTTCTGACCCTGGATGCTTCAGGCTGCTCCGCAGCATCTCGGTTTTGGCATACTCAGACTCAAACATGGTTTGCATCTGTTTTATGGAGAGACCCACTAACCAATGTGTGAAATGGCCCTGATCCAGTCCTTATCTGGGGACGAGGTTCAGTGTGTGTTTACTCTCAACAAGATAAAAAAGCTAGATGGCTACCTAAATGCCTCATAAAACAAGTAGACAGTTCTTCAAAGACCCCATATAACACCCAGGAATAATGTTATTTCCTGAGGCACAATCCCCTGTGTTCTCTTACAGGTGACACATCTCCCTAGAGCCTTATGCTGCTTAGCCAGCCTTCTTGAGCCACACCACATCCATGGTGGATTTTGACCCCTGCCAAACAGACTACAACTGCTGACAGCCATGCACAGAACCCCATGACTGCGAAAGAGGCTCTTCTCGGTCTGGAGAAACATACACCAGCCAAATAGACTACATCCGGTGTTATGCAAGGCATGCTCCAACACAGGAGAATGACTTCATACAGAGACACCAACAAATGGCTGTCAACCCCTTCTCCTTGATTTGGGGGGGGGGAGTTTTTCCCTTACCTAATGCCCCTTTTGGGTCCCCTAGCTGACCTATTGTTTCTCATTTCTGTGAGTCTTGTATTTTTCAGAGGATTATGATTTTCATTAATAACCGGATAGACACATTTATGGCAAAGCCCATTCAGGTATACTATCATCAGCTAGAGATGGCAGATCAACAAACCTACAGGGAAGGAATTCCCACGAGTGGCCCATATGATGATGCGGCCTAACTGCCCTGGGGCAATGGACAGGCAGTCAGAGACGGGCAACTAGGACATGCATGTTAATTCCAACGGCCACCTAAAACAGGCACAAGACCAACTGCTGTTCTGCAAGCCCATGACGGGTAAGGCCTGGTTGGGTTCATGCAATGAGGTCCTTGACCTAAGACAGATGCTGTCCTCAAAGGGCCTGCCATACTCTTAATTAAATAATATAAAAAGGGAGGAGATGTAGGGAGCCAAGTGACAGGCATTGCTGCCTCGATGTCTCTCTCTCTCTCCTATGGGCACTGCGTCTGCCTACATTAACCATAATCCTCTTCTGCTTACGTCACGTATCCGGATGTGATGGTAACCCTGTTGTATTCATCTGTTTAACCTCTTCCTGTCCCAGCTCCCGCCCTTAGCCTATAAAAGGTGTGATTATTTCCTGAATAAACCGGAAGTTTGATCGGATTATTTCGTCTTGCTTTCATCTCTTTTTGTCTCCCCCATGTCTTTTATTTTATCCCCGTTTCCCCTCCAGGAGTTCTAAACTTGTTGATCTGCAGGCCGGATCACCAGTCCTTGATTCTTTGGCATTTAAAATGTATGAAATCTCAGTCTTGGCATACTATGAAGAACAAATGACTAGAACAATTACATCACACTGGCTAAAGTAATACAATAAGTAATAACGATAGCGTGAAACAGCCTAGAAAATGACAAACTGAGGCAACTATTAATTTGCTATATTTAACCTTATGAACTAGATTTGTAGTTATATAACAAAGTCTAAAATAGATCATCAAATTGTATACATTATATATGCCCTCAGTATGGCAATTTTCCCCTCAAAGGAAAAATTTTTTTTTATCAGTACCAGGGATCGAACTCAGGACTGCGTGCTTGCAAGGCAGGTGCTTATGCCACTGAGCTAAATCCCCAGCCCAAGGGAAAAAATTTTAAAAGGGCTAAGGGGATAAAATAGAGGCATAGAAAAACAGGAAGAGATTAGAAGCAAGGCATGAAGACAAAGGAAGTATAAAATATTTTGGGGGAACTAGTGAAAAAGATATTGTCACTCTATCACTCCAAATCTTTTCTTCAAACTCCATATCATACCATTAGTCTGTGTGACATCTTCTCTTTTGGGCCAGAATATAACCATCGCACATTCATAGATAGAAAATAATGAATTACTTTATGACAATAGTTTCTAAAAACATTTAATCATAAGGACATAATTAAGATATTGACATGGGAAAATATGTCACCAAATTATATGAATAGCCCATTCCTAATTATGCATGACTATGCACATAAAAGACTAGATAAAGATACACATGAGAACAATACCTGTGGTTGAGGTATGTCATTTTAGATAATTGTTTTCTGCTTTACAAATTTACATATATCACAAGTTTTTGTTTTATTGTTTCATTTTTGGTATCAAGAATTTAACTCAGGACCTCATGCTTGCCAGGCAGGCACTTGTATTACTGAGCTATATCCCTAGCTGTCACAAGTTTTTTAATGAGCTATTATAATTGACTTTTTAAATTAAGTATAACCCATCCTTCAAGGGTAATTGAAATATATTCCTTTCAATAAATTTGATCAATGATGACAAACCTGCTAGAGACTGAGTGCCAAATTACAGCCCAAAACCCACTTATTTCTTGCAAAGTGCCAACACTGCAATTATCTCTGCATATTGAGGATTTGGATCCACACATTAACACATTTGTGTTTAAAAAAAAAAAACCACAAAAGGCTCAACATCACTACCCTGATCATACCTGATCCTTTGCTTTCCTTTTGTTCTTTACTCATTCTTAAGATATTTTTTCTTTTTCTCAATTTTTTATTACTATATGTTTGCGATACATAGTAAATACATTAACTACAGGGGCACAGGTACATATACATACCACACTTCGGTGCTTTTTACTTCCTCTTTCCCTCCTCTCCCCACTCTCTTATCCTTAGATTCCCTTCTCACCCTCTCAAAGAACCAACTCTGATTCGTTGATTCTCTGTATTGTCTTTTTAGTTTCAGCTTCACTGATCTCCTTTCGATTTAACATTTCTTTCCCTCTATTAGTTTCAGATTTGCATTGTGCTTGTCTTTGTAGGACTTTGTTGTACCATTAGATAATTTGGAATTGCTCTATTCTGTTTGTGCATTTACAGGTATAAATTTCCCTCCTAGAAATGCTTCATTCTATCCCATAGGTTATGTAATTCTTCCATTGTTATTTGACTCTAGGAATTTTTTTTATTTCTTCTTTGATCCATCAATTTTTCAATAAAGTATTATTTCATCTCTGTATTTGCAACTTTTGTGGCTTCTTTTGCTATTGATTTCTAGGTTCATTCTGCTATGATCTGATAGTATGCAGGGAAGTATTTCAGTTCTTATGTACTTATTTAAGCATGCTTTATGGAATAAGAGATGATCTATTTAAAAAAAAAGTTCGGTGTGCTATTGCATATTCCCTAGTTGTGTAAAACACTCTGTAGATATCTGTTAAATCCATTTTTTCAGTAGTATAATTTAACTTTGATGTTTCTTTGTTAATATTTTTGTCTGGCTGGCCCGTCTAGTTGTGACAGTGAAGTATTAAAATCCACTTCTATGGCTATGTTGGTGTCTCTCTGTCCTTTTAAGTCTAGTAGCTTTTATTTTATGAAGTTAAATGCATAAATATTTGGTGCATAGATATTAACAACTGTTATTTATTCCTGTTGAATTGTCCTCTTTACTGGTATGTAGTTGCCAGGAGTTTTAGCTTGAAGTCTGCTGCCTGAAAATAAGGTTTTTAGGTTCTCAGCAAGTAGAATGTTGCTTTCCATTCTTTCACCTTTAGTGTAATTCCTCTTGAATGAAGTGTGTCTTCTATGGGCAACATAAGGTTGCATTTTATGTTTTGTTTTGTTTGATCAGTTTCACAGCCTTTGGGCTTGTTAGGTGCTGTCCCATTCCAGAAGAGCCGCTGTCTGCACACCCCAGGAGGTGGCCACTGTCCAACCTGAGGCATATCCCTAATCATGTTGGCAAATGGAAAAGCAAACAGAACACTCATATCTATGCTGGAAATAGGGAGTGCGGGGAGGCCAAGCAAGATTTCTGCACCCAATCTCAGTATCTTCAGACCCAGTCATCTCAAGAAACCATATTACTGGCCTGTGTCCTCACAACACAGAGTGGGGCTGCCGTATCATTCACAGTCCGAGCTCACCACTGCTTGAACTTCCCAGAGGATCTGCCATGAGCCTGCCCCTTCTCCACAATAGTTTCTTGTGGCTGACTCCCACCTAGTCACAGAGGCAGAGAGACCCCAAAGAGGCTGAAGTGTAGTTATTCTGTGACTTCTAATTCCCAGAGTAGCTCAGTCCCAAACAGAAAACCCTTTCCCAAGATAGCTTCTGATTTATAGCTCTCCCAAGTATAACAGATGCTGCAGTGCATTTCTTCTTAAACCCTGGCCTGTTGTGTGGAAGGAGCGACTTTCACAGTAAAACTACGCTGCATTTACAGTTGACAGTAACCAAGGCCTTTTCTCAAGACTAGTGCTCCCAGAGCATTGTTTCTCCCTGGGCTTCTACTCCTCCATGGGTTTACTTTGTCTCTGAAGACAATATCTCCTCCTAGGAATCAGACTTGCTGTTCCAAGAGCTCCATTCTTTTCTCAGCCTTACCTTCGGTATTTTGATCTCTATAGTCTCTGGTTTTCCTTTCTTGATTCCCAGAGCTCTACTTTTTTACTTTTGTTGTTGCTGTAGTTTTTTGTTTGTTTTTCTCTCTCTTCACCAAGTTGTCTTTTTCCAGGTGGGAATTCCTTTATTTTGGCCTTTATTTTGCCATTTTTAATCTCTCCAATATAGTTTTATAGACTTCCTTATGCAATGGTTATTTTTTCCTTGGCTTGCGTTACTTCTTACATATGAAGCATTTTGCAGACACGTGCATCCCTTACAGAGCTACTGTAGTTTGAATGCCTCCTCCAAAACTCATGGTGAAATTCAATTGTCATCATGGTATTAAGCATCGAGGCCTCTAAGAAGTAATTAGGTTATGGGAGCATCAACCCCTAATTCATGATTATGGTGGGAGTAGGTTAGTTATTGAGAGTGTAGGCTCCTGATGAAAGGAAAATTTAGCCCCCCACCCTCTCTGCTGCATTCTCCCTTGTTCAGGCACCATGTTATGACATGGCACACAGTCCTTCACAAGATACTGGGGTCGTGCCTTTAGTTTCCTAACTGCTGAGTGTTTTCAGGGCAGTAGAGAGGTAGAAAGATAAGAGGCCTTTATTGTGGGCACCGGAGGAACATCGAAGAATGCAAGATCCCTCAAAAAGGAGAGCTGGGGATTGGTTTTTATGGAGTTGGGCTGGGGCTGGAGCGACTGCGTGATTGTGGAGTCTTGAGATTGGAGAAGGCTCCATACGCGGGCAAAAAGGGAGTGGAAGGGCTTTTTTCTGGACTTAGAAGAACAACACAGAAGTTACTTTTGGAGAGATAAAGTATTTCTCAGGCTGGTGCCCATTTGGGCAAGTGTCATCTTAGAGACAGCTAAGCCCCAAGCTGACAGAATCTATCACTAACCTCTAGAAACAGAAATCAAATGAAGTCCCATTCTTTAGAAATTACCTAGTCTTTGGTATTCCCCTATACCAGCATAAAATAGACTAAAACATACACAAATAAAGTCCTTTAAATATATTTATTGAAAAAATTAGAGTACTTTTCATTTATAGGAAATAATCTTCAAGCTTTACTATAAAATCAAATCTCTAATGTTTCTAATATCTAGTATATTAGTAAACCTCTAATATATAAGTACAGCATCAGTATCTACTTTAAATATAGATGAAACTCTTGTTGAAAATGAGAATGAAGTTTTTTTTATAGTTCAAAGGAAAATCTGTACCCTATTATTTTTAGAATGAAAAACATTTTTAAAAATAAATTCTAAACCAACATACAAAGAATTTGACAATGAGAAGCAAATTATGATTTGTATAACTGTTTATTTTATATTTTCCCACTAGATTGTAAGTTCCACAAAAGTAGCAATATTTGCAGCTATATAACTAGTAACTAGCCCTGTGTCCGGTACATACCAGGCATTCATTAAAGTATTGAATGAATGAAAGGAAGTAATCTGAAGAATACCGGTCCTCCTATTTATTGATAATAAAGATAGAGAGATATATTTTCAAGGGATAAATTTTATAGATCAGTAGCTTTGCGGAAAGATAATAGAAAGTCTATCGTTTTATTACGGAGAAGTCTACCTTCTTCTGATAATCCCATGACCAAAGTTCTTGACATTATTACAATTTTCATTTTCAATTTTTAGGGTTTAAAGATTGAGCCAAGTCTTTTTAAACTCTAGTTTTCAAGGTTACACAAGGCTCTCAGATTTAAACGAGGTTACTCAACTCAACCAGTTGCTTAC